TGTGCCATTTTAATGGAGGGCTTTTCGGGTCCAGTGTACATTCAAACGTGTATCAAGTCCAAATCAATGTGGCGTGCAGTGGTCATGAGTCCTTGGTGAGTCTGGACGTTTGCCTGGCGGCTTGGTGGGTGTAGCAAAGTCCACGGACATGTGGTGTCCCATCTCACCTCTCACACACGCGTGAGCTACCAGAGCCTTCCACACAGCTCCAACATGCCCACTGAAATTGATAAGCATTCATGGGGCATTTCCCCACTTCTTACCTTTACCCTGTCAGAAATTTCTCCTTACCCCAGATCTTGGATTGGGTAAGGGTCACATAGTTGAAAAATCAAAATGCAAGAAGGTATACATTAGAAAATCTTGCTCCTCCTCCTGTCCCCGTCAATTCCACTTCCCCTGCCCTTCACCCCCACCCCAGTTTAATCACTTGTTAAGCAAATTAAAAACCATATCCTGATTCCCCACACAATTAGTCAATTACAGAACTGAAATTTGCCAATCACAAAAACAAATTACACCTTTCTTTTTGTTTAAATAATGAATCCTAGAGATGCAGCCTCTCAGAATTTCTTCTGTGACATTGACATGCCATGTGCTTTGGACATGTATCAGGAGAGGACAGTCCCTGGAAAAGAACATCATGCTCAGTACGTAAAAGAAGACCTTTCATAACACGGACAGTGGCTGCAAGAATGGGCTTAACCAACCATTGAGAGGGTAGTGCAGCAGTGGGTAGCGTTTTCATTGGGGTGTACACACACGATGGCTGGAGGTTGGAACGGACTCAGTGGTACTTAGCAAACAACGTATTGTACGGATGGAAGCTCGGGGTGTTTCCAGTCCTGTTACTCTAAACAAAACTACAATTAATAACCATAGATCTCTTTTCCTTATATCTCACTGTTTCACATTAAAAGTATCTTTTCCACAACTGTGTTCTGACACCCTCAATCTTAAAGGCTACTTATTCAAGATAGCACTATTTACAATAGCAAAAAGGATGGAAGCAACCTAAGTGCCTCTCAAGAGACTTACAGATAAACAAACTATAGTACATGCACACAATGGAACACTATGCAGGGTTAAAAAGCAATGCTAATCTGTGAAACACCTCATCACATGGATTAGCCTGGTGGACAGTATGCTGAGGATAGATAGATAGATATAGATAGATAGGTTTATACGGCAAGAAGGACTATAACAGCGAGTTAGTCCACACAGCAGTACAGAGGGCTCAGTTCAACTCACTTTTGTGGAACAGTTAAAATACAGAAAGTCCAACTCAGGCATGAGAGCTGCCAGTCCCAGGTCAAGGAAGCAGACAGTGGAGTCTGCCCTCAGAGCGCAGACAGCAGGGTGCGTCAGCAACAGTCAGCACAGGAGCTTATTTATGAAGCAGGTGGATCTGAATCTCAGTGATGCACGACAGGATCCACCAGCCTCAAGTTGAAGCGATGCACTTGCCAGCAGCAGCGTGATGAAGCATGTCTGGAAGGAGCTCAAGCTCTAGGGACAGGATCCACGGGTTGGCTTGGCCCCCAGGTAGTGCTGCGCATGGTTGAGGCAAAGAATTAGCTCAGGCAGTAGCACACTGGTCCTATCACCAGGGAGGAAGAGAGAAGGGGCGGGCCTTGGAAAGCCATTTATCCCATTCTCCAGTCAAGCTGTGACCTGATTAAACTCCACCCACACGTTCCTATTGGCCGTTAGCACAATAAACCTAACACACTGAGTGAAATCAGTCAATCACAAAAAACAAATATTATGAGATCGCTATTAGAAGAGTCAAGAAAATGCTTTCACACTGAAAGAAACATGCTTTGATGGTTGCCAGGGATGAGGGAAGGGAAATTTTGATAGTTCTGTGTGAACCTGGCTGGGCCAGGATTCTCAGTGGTTTGGCAATTAAAGCCTAATAATCCCACAGGAGGCCCTCTCCCTGAGGGTGTGGTCTTCTAATCTAGGTAGATGCTGTGGAACAGCTTCCTTGTTGTTTACCGGAGCCTCCATCTGACTCATGGACCTCCACTTCTTTGGACTCGAACCAATGACGGCTGTATTTTCTGCTCATCCTGGGCATGACCAGCAACCACAGCCTGACTTGCCAACTGGAGACGCACTCGGTTCTGCAGCCAGCCAGCCAGCTTCCCGTAGACCTTGGTTTCCTCGCCCTCACGGCTACGAGCTTGAGAACAGCCTGAAGCCTGGCATCTGGCCATGGACTTGGACTTTGCTTCTACAAGCCATTTTCTTTCTTTTTTTTT